TAGGTGTCCCAAGCATATTTATTATGTACCAAAAGTGCAAAAGCGCCCTCGCATCCATTGCTTTTTGTTACTCTTCGTGAAATAAGCTTCTCGGATTGTTTTAGTCTTGGGAGAACCACGTTATATTCGCCAAAGCGCCACGCTAAAGCCTCTAGTCAGTTCCAAATTTTGGTGCCGTTTGGGGAGTACTGATGAAAATAATCATATTTAAAGGGCAATACCCACCACTTTTTATCTTTGCTAATTCTTTTCAATTTTAACGACACCAAATGAGCATACAAGTAATTTGAAATACAGCTGTTAGCTGCTTTGCAAAATATGACATCCCCAACATTATAAGGCCATGACAGGCGAATTCTTTACCTTTGGGATGAATTTAGGACCTGTTCTTCGTACCCACTCCGTTAAGGCAAGAAAGGAAACCCTAACGATGCATGCAAAAGCAGAGATAATCGAACAGGAGGACTTACGAAAGAAATAAGGGCGGCGAGGAGAAGGATTTTGACAAGGAGATCGTCAAACTGTTCAACAATAAGCTCCCAAATTGACTTGGCTGAAAGGAGAACCCAATTGTATTAAATATGAAGAATACGCTTTTTAATGCTTGCATAAAAGATGAATTTCGGCTACTTTAACGTTCAAAGTGAAGGCAATAAACATTTTGCCACTCCAGAACCGCTAATGGCGTTAGCCAAATTTGTGCACGTTTCCTCACCTTCTTCAGCGGGAAGTTCTGAAATGAGAAAAAAGGACAATTGAGTAATCACCAAGTGCAGTGGTGCTAAAAGAGAATATTTTGGTCCAAATCTGCTGAAAATTTTTGTACTTTTATGCTGACGGAAAGGAGAGTTTGAAGATGAACTTTGTGCTGCAGGGCTGCCTCATTGTTCAACTGCGGCTATGTACGGGATCCCACTACGCTCACCCATTCTGCCTCCCTACACATCAATCTTTACAATAATGCTTTGAGGCTTTTAATACTAAGTTAGCTACCAAAAGGCATATTCTGGCCTAGGTATGGAAACCTGTAGTGCTTCCTATTCAGTTAATTCTTCGTTTCATAAAAAAGCCTAAGAGATGCATTGAAGATCTGCAATGCGACAGACATTTACATTTGGCTTTCGTGGTAAGCTAATAAAGGAGAGAGTTCATTACTTTATCTGACTCCCTCTTTGGTTTTTCTACTATGAGTTATCCAAAGTCCTATTCGGCTGATATACCTTTGTGCCATCGCCGAATCACGCTTTTGTACATTAGCCAAAAGTTCTACTTTAAAGATGCACCTGTCACTTAAAAGCGGTGGCAAATTTGTCTATAAACAACAAGATTATCAATTATTCCACCCAATCCGCTCACCGTTGAGACCGTATTTCTCAGTCTGTCGTTTGACCTGCTCATCGGATAGGCCTGTCTCTTCATCCACGTTAAAAAATGCGAGAACGTCTTCAATTTTGCGGCAATGAGCGTTCTCCATTGTGCAGGGCTGATTGTGGAGTTACTTTGGTGCAAGTTCAGTACTCGGAGGGCATGAAAGATAGCAGGAAGCAAATGTGAATGGAGTCTGTGTTTTGTGTATAGCAGTCGTTAGTGTCCCTCTTTTAAGGCAGTATTCACTGGAAGGAGAAGTTGAATTTGAAACACACCTTCTGTCCTGCCGTGGGCCAGTAGTCTGCTTAACTTGCACCCTCTCACGCACTCGCTTAGACAACAATTTTGGTGTATCCACAGGCAGCGTAAACTACCTCGCACGCATGGACACGTGTTATGTATGCGTACAAATTGATCGCCTGGGAGCCTAGTCCCATCACCCACACCCAGTGCAGGGGCAACGTGCTGCCGTGCGGATGTGTGCGCATGTATGCACATGTCCACATCTCCATCGTTGGGTCCACTGTCCCCTCTCTTCCCAAAATTCACGCACGCGCGCACCCTCCAGATCCAATCAGGGTGTTAGTTGCACATGTGCACGCATACGGGCAGGTCAACAAGGTCACTGCTGTGGAGAGCGATCGATTGGTCGGTGCGGGAGTGTATGCCAGTGTGCGCTACTGCGCCGTTGCTGCAACAGCACCGCTGTGCTGCTTCTGGGGCTGATTTGGTTACCCTGAGCGAATTCAAAGGCTAATGCGCTGGAATCCAGGCCTGTCACCATGCGAAAAAGTTTGCACGTAGGTGAAAACGTTGCTCAATCTAGATACTATCCTCCGTTCGCTCAACATCGACAGCACCAGTCATCAATCTGGTGCAACAATTAGAGGTAGGACGTAAATAGATGTGAGCATCAATTTACAAAGGGTCACTTTAAGTGATATGCACATTCTAAATTTCAAATAAAATGGCGCTTTAGCCGAAGCAGATTTGTAAATGGAGCACAGACGGCAAGCGTATATTAAACAGCGTAATTATAGCACAAAGTGAAATTGAAATGGTGCGCGAAACCCAGAATATGGCTTCGGGAACAAAAAGTACGCTATGACATCTTGATAATAACGTTTTGACACAATTGCTTCCCCCGTCGTGATGCAGTGAACTTTCTTTAAAAAGGCAACCACTGAACCTCGTCATCCATACTGGTACTTTTTTTATTCACACAGCCATAATTACTTTTCAACTCATTGCAATTTTATCAAGAGGAGCAACTGCGCTATGCTTCAATCATTTTACCAATCATTTCTCCCACTTCCTCAATATCTTTGTCCGCCTTTAAAGGAAGTCCTAAGACAAAACATCGTAAAACACCGTTAGGATCGCCTTACGTATTTCATCCAACTTTTTTGTTCCCCTTTCTAACAACATCCACTTGCAACTCTTTAGGTATGAAATTTTCAAGACATAGTTAACTGTCTCCATTGCTAAATAAGATCATCTAAGCAGGGTGCGTGTTGGATCGACTACAGAATTGAACCGAGATTCAATCAACGCCTTGATGCTCCCGCCAAAGGAGGCAATTGGTAACAGACTGGTCCGCTCATTAGAAGC